AAAATAAACGTGAAGCGACAGGGGTATTACAGGTAAATTTAAAACATTAATATAATCCTATGGGTAGGTGCTTAATAGCCAATAGGTATGTACTTTAGACATTTAATAAATAATTAACTTTTAATTGTTCAATAACATTACTAACTGGCTCAATTTTAATGTCTATACTATTCCACAAGGGTATCAAGATAGTAGGATAGATACTATATTAATCTATACTTATAGGTGATTATTATTTATTATATAATATGTGCCTATCTATGCATTATGTAGAAAAACTTGAAGCATGTAGACAAGAGAGAAATAAATTGTTGCCCTGTGAAACTATAACTGGTAGTATATCAACACGAAAAAAAAGAAAAAAATGTCTGAGAAAAGAAATGTCGTTCTATCGAAACAATATTGCTTCAAATATGCGACGCACCAAGTCTATTCAAAATAAATTAAATGAAGATGAAAAGTAATTATTTCGTTATAAATTATAATATATTATAATTTGTCATTTGATATGGGTAGGTACGTATACTTTGATACCTATCAATAAATATTTGTAAAACTGCAGTAATTATTTTTAAATACATACATTTCTCGGTCGGGCTGGTTCTAAAGAACCTACCTACTGATCGCTAGATAATATTATGTAATAATAAAGTAGTAGGTAGCTTAAATTTTCTCTCTTAAAAATTAAAAATAAATATACATTTTAAAATAATAGTGATTATTCTATATTATCATATTTAGCTAGCTACCTATACTTATACCTATAGTTATATAGTATTATGTCTACGTATTCATTAGATTAGGTAGGTATACAATAAACAGCCCATCCATGTAGCCTTTCTAAAAATCAAATTAAAAATCTTCTACCTATTTTTATACAGTAACCTATACATAATATATATAATTTCATGTATAATATAGAACCGTACATCATCATGTCACAAAAAGACGAAAACGCCGTTGTAAAAAATCGAAAAGCATAAATGACCTGATGGATTTAAAAGAACTGTGTAAAGAAGTCGACAGGATTGCAATCCTCGAAAGGCGTGAACCAGACATGGCGACTGATAAACGGAGAACTGTAAAAAAACGTTCACGATCTGGGAACGCAAGTCGGTACGTAGTATATCAATTTTTTTGTGTATAGACTTATCGTATAATCATTATTTACTTTTTGGAATAAATATGCAAGGCTCAAACATTTTTTAACTCTTTTTTTATGTGATTTATTGTTTTTAAATTAATTTTGGCATGACTGATTGTATAATTTGCTTATATAGGTACACGACCACGAATATTGTCCAAATGATTCATATAAAAATATTCTAAATGTCTGTCACAAACTTAAAAGTAAATTGTAAATACGAAAATATTATTATAGTTATATGTACGTTGGTATTAGTTATCAAAAATTATAATTTTTCTTGAAGAACAACAGTACAACTTATTCGCACTCCACACATGCACGAACTATTATTTAATATTCTTTAGATCTTATTAAAGTATTTAAGGGTATTATTGTGTTTTCAGAAGCTTATTGGACATTAGCGCTATTCATATACCAGACCAAGACCGAAAAATTTTGAATAGTATGAGGCGAAAACGTGAAGAAAGGCAGTATGGAGAGGATCTAGCGCATAGAGTAAATGTATTTTGGGAACAAATGCGGGAAGAGGAAAAACGGTTAACTAACGAACAAAAGCAAAAATGGCAAGATTTCATAACGGCAAAACGAAATGTAGAAAATGGGGTTAAACATTTGCGTTTGGATGAACTGCGCTTGGCATTCGAGAATAACCAAAGACAGCTGGAGGAACATATGATACAAAAAGACATAAAAGTTAATGAACTTAAACAACAAATTGGAGACCGCAAGGTATAATAAATTATCAATATTCTTAACATGATAACAGGTGCACTGTAATTTAATTTTGTCCCTGTTCTATACATATCATGTGTTTGTTCAATTGTATTATGTTTAGGTACTATACTTTTCATTCGTGTTAATCTTTATTTGGTAGGTATACCTATATACGGGTACCTACTTACTCACACAGCTTACATATCGTATAATCTTCTAATATATAAAAATCTCGTGGCACGGTGTTAATGGTCGCACACCTAAATAATGGCTAGACCGATTTTAAAGGAATTTTTTTTATTTGTTTGGTAGGTAGAGAATATGTCTTAAAGTATTGTTCACCATCCTACGCGTTATAAGTACCTAATGGATATTTTGATATGATTAATTTTGGAATTTATTATAGGTACCTACCTATTATAGGTCAAATTATGGTTTAGTACCATAGATATGTATAATGTATATAATATGTCTTATACCTAGACTGACATACCGTCTCCGCTCAGAATCGTTTTTCTTATACAATGATATTATATCATTGAATTAAAATTAAATACCATCCATTATTCAGTTACCCACTTGTAACCTACTGTACAGCAGTGCACTTTTTTATGTTTATTTTCGTGGAATTACTTACCTATCTAGGTAAAATTATTAAATGTTTGCAAATTATTGACTCTCGTTGTATTTAGAAAAAATATTTAATCTTATATTTCTGCTTTCGATTAATTAGTTAATTACATTTTATACCTAGGTATTTGTGTATATTTTTATAGTTGTTTGAAAATGCATTAAAACAAGACACAGAGTTCAGAAAGCAAAAAATTGCGAGTGACAATAATTTGTATGAACAAATGAACACTCTTCACCACAAAAAAAGATTGCATGACATAAATCTTTTGAAACAGAAAAAAGTGGACGAAATAAGAAATAAAAAACTTCAAATAAGTCAAGAAGTAATTTTAGTTCATTCAAGAGCTGTTTTAAGATTTCATTAAACTTTATGCCTTTATTTTTATTTAATATTTAAATACATCAACTTTTTTTTTAAGTATCATATGTAAAAATAGCACAAATAATACTGTACTTTTAATATTAAAACCTTTTAAATCTACACGATTGACAGGTGCTAAAACTTAAATTTCAAACAAAATCGCCACTATGATCTGGTGTCTTCAACATTTTTAAAATTTCAATACAACCATCAACTATTACTACCTATCATATATTCACATACAATTCAAAAAAATACTTAATAAGAACTTGCAATATGTACACAGTTATGTTTTTACACTTTCTGCAATTTTAGTTATTTAGACATTATGTAATCACAGGCCACAGCTATTGTTATCAAAATGTTAGTTAATTTGAATAACTTGATATTTATCATCCATAAAGATCATGCGCTAAGAAGACGCCACGGCACATGTTTTTGCACTCATGTAATTTGCTCCATCTTACAAATATACAGCATAACACATTTT